CTTTATAAATCCTGTTCAATCTCCGTTTTTTTTATTGCTAAATAAATAACAGGACAGGAGTCAAATCCTGGACGACCTCGATTAGAAAACGTTTACAAAACCAATGGGAGCTATAAACAAAAGATTGATGACGAGGAACAATGGAAAATGCTTGATTTACACCATTTACACCAACATGCTAGGGTGTGTGTGTGTACACACAATGAAAACCTATTGTTGTAAACAATTCGGCTGTGTAATCAACCGCAACTACGAAGCATCTACAAATATACCATTTCTATTAGCATAATACTGAACAGTAAAACTAAATGTCGAGAAAACAGTATGTTGGCCTTTCTTGCAATATTTATATCTTTTATAAATAAGATCGTACATAATGAGCTTCTGTCATTAATAATGCAGTTACTCCAGGAAAATACACACAATAATACAACCATTAAATTGCTTTCTCGCCTAAATGTCAATTGAGCGACAAGGACAAACAATTGTCCATTAACCATTCTAATTGTAGAGTCACGCACGCGCGACGCCAACATAACAATACAAAGCGGCTACGTCTTCTTTTTGTTTATCACAGAGTCTGCGTAGCCCTTGTTGTAACCCGTCTGGTACGCTTCAACAGCGGAGGTTCCTAGTCAAGATAGGGGGGGGGGGGTCCATACGCTTTATTCACGAGTCGGCAATGACTTAATTTCAATTACAAAATTGTTTAAGCCACATTGAAACACAAATCGAAAGTGCGGCTTGGAAGGCATATAAATGGTCTGGCATCATCCCATTTAGTTTACAAGTTATAAAAATACATTCAAGGAAGGTTATTGAGATGTCACTAGATGGCGCCCATGGCTCCTAGGTTATGACCTCATCTTGACGCCTCTTGTCTTAATCATCCCTCAGGCTGAACATGATTCATTAGGTATTTGCTTGATTTTATTTAAATGCTTCTGTTTTCAAGTTATAGTCCATTCTCATTGCCACAGGTAACACGGAGAGACTGGATCAGTGATGTAGTCGAGTACATTTTTATAAGTAAAAGTATGAGTATGTCATGAGTTCGAGTACCAGTACGAGTACCATCACATTTGTTTTTCATGAGTGCGAGTACAAGTACGAGTAGTCAAGTGGCTTAGATGCAATTTATTTTGACAAGATCGTTACTGTTTGGTCAAAAGCACCAAACTTGGCAGATAACCGTTTAATAAGAAGATTTGAGAAGGGATGACACCCTGAAATTCGTTTTGGGGTGCCAAAAAATCCCCATTATTATCAAGTAGTTTTGCCAAACCTTTGTATTGATGATTTTCAAGTTCACAAAGTTGCTTACTGGCACAGTTACCGCAATCAAGCTATATGGACAATCATGTGAACAATAATAACATCATGATATTTAGCCCAGAAAAATAAAAGGGAAATAAATAAAGTGTCCGTAAATTGTGCTACAATTAGGCGAAGGGTTGCCTAACGTGAGGGACTTGAACAGGTTCAAAGTAATCCCAAATTTATCTGCAAAAAAAAACACATTTTGACGTAGACATAATTGTTATAAATAACCACAATTTACTGACATCTCCTTTTGCCCCTTTTTTATTTTCTGTGCTAAATATCATGATGTTATCATTGTTCACATGATTTTCCATACTGTTTTATTAGGGTAACTGTGCCAATTAGTAACTTTAGTAATTTAAGTTCACCAATAATGAGGTTTGGCAAGACTAAGGAAATGGTAAACAATGGCAACTTCAGGGCGAGTAGCCATTTTTTGATATTGCATATATGTTCTCATAATATGTTTCAGACAATTTTATCGAAGCAAGGATTTTGAATAGTAGAATCCCAAAAATATTCTTTTGAAAAAGCATAAAAATTTGAAAAAAAGCTAATTTACCGAAGTGTTAAAATGAGTATAGTACACAGAGGCTATATACGACTCAGTGCAAATTAGGCACCTTTCCTAAAAAAAAAATTCAGATGTCACCCTTCTAAATATCTTCTCTAGGGCTATACGAATCTATCTGCCAAGTTTGGTGCTTTGGACCAGTCGGTCACGATTCCGACCATATTCCGATATATGACTTAAATATCAAAATAAATATATGACCAGAGTACCAAAGCAAATGTACTCATACCCTATTGCAATATTTTACTCAAGCTTCGCCTTTACGTCTGATACGTTATGTGGGAAATGGTTAAATAACCTCTTTCAGTCACAAAAAAAAATGTAGACCGTACAAGCATCGCAGTACATAATGCTCGCTTCAATCAGCGGTGTTACTCCACAATCCTAGCTCGAGATGACTGGGGAGTTATACATTGCACAATTGTCTGTAGTCACGTCACTAGCCTTTTTGCTGCCGTTATAAAGCGGGGGACGGGAGACATTTTTGTCCATAAATCTGAAACCCTATCTCCTACAGGGGAATTCATATTTGCATTTCAGTGCAGTGTCGTGATTCCAATGAAGCACGGAGGCCAAGAATCATATTGCATGCCTTAATTACTTTACACGAGCATTTCGTACGCGCATAACCTTTTTCCTTGTATTACAAGGACAGAACATAATAGCCTCTTACTTCAATTCTCGACGTCGGATTAAAGGAGTTTAAAAGACTTAATTTTAATTGAAAACAGTCGGCAACCGCTGACTTCATTGTCCTAGTTTTAGAAAGCTATTGTGATCGATGGAGAGTATCCTGATCCTGACATAAAGAAGACCTGAAAATAAGAAATTCAACTAAATAACTTTGCTTCTGATTCTGACATTTTTTTACATGTTAGCATCTAACTCCCATTTCATCAGATGAAAGGCATGAAGGAACAAAGGTCTTATCCGTTCGTGTAACTAATACATTTGAATCTTGTTTTTCATTTTATATTTAGGGGTGGTGGCGGGGGTGGTGGTAGGGGGAGCAAGTCGAGGGAACATGGGAGTCGCCAGGATTTTTCTAGGGGTGGGGCAAAATACATTTCACCCCAAAGTTTTTGTACTTTCTTAATCATTTTCTCAATTTATCATTTAATCGAGGATGGAAGGGGGGATATTTGCCCAACCCATCCCCATTGACACCCCAACCTACGCTTATTTTGTTAAATGGGTAGTAAATGAAAAGCAAATATGACTTTACAACTCTTATTTCTTTTTTCTTCTTTTTCCCCCCTTCTTCCCCCTCCCCATTTCGCTCATCCGGGGGGGGGTCTAGATCCCCCATTCCCCCCCCCCCCCCGCCCTTGCAACGATCAAGGGGAGACGTCCCCTGGTAAAATGTTGCCTTTTTTCATTCTTACCTTTTAATTATTTCAACGAACGAAAAATACAAGTCACCGATTTTTGTCAGAAGACCAGGAAGCCATTTCACCAACCCAAAAGTTGGACACGCCACCGATAGTAGACGTTTCAATCGATTCACCTTCAACCACGGTGTGTCGCTCCTTTATTTTTTGTGGTCTTATTAAAAAGAATGAAGAAATTAACATTTTTTTCAGTTTTACAAACTGATGTGGTTTTTAATCACTGGCTATGACAGAAAGGCTCTGTGTGTAGAGCTACACTTGGCCACGCATTTGTAAAAGCCGGATCACAACTTTCTCGTACATTCTAAGTGGCTCGACTCATTGCTAGGTAACCTAAATGCACACTGGATAGTAGCTTGCGCTGAAGTCGTTCGGTCAATCTCTAAATTGTAGCAACTGTTGTCAAGACAACTGATAAAAAACAGTTGAATTTGTGTTTATTTACCGTGATGTTTCGAGGGTCCCGTACTTCTAATTGATTCAGTATCACTAGTAAGCACTCCAAGAAATGAATGCAGCCTAAAATGTACCTTTTTTCCCCAGTAGTGTCCAATTAGCGCTGTCATGTCGAAATTACAAAGGGAAGGATAAAGGTGAGTGCGTTATACAATGGTTGCCACGTCTAAGAGAACCTTACAAATTATACGAGAAAGCTCCCCCTGCCTGAGCTGACATTTCAAGTTAATGTGCTATAAGTGCTCTCTGAAGTGCACGTGTCTTATCAGATTATGTTTGCTTCAAACGTCGGTTCGGTCAATAGCAGTCACAAAATGTAGTCTGATACACAGACCTAAATAATTATGCTGACCAACCAATTTATGTCTGGCAGCTGCCGATCTCATGGCACTGTTTCCAATTGGATTTTTCGGAAATGGTCGAGATAGCTTGTGTACAGGGTAAGTAAAAAAAAAAACCGCAACCCAAATGGCAGGACCAATTTTTGAATGACGTTTTGCCTGTTTAGCACTTTCAAAATCTAGGATATGAAAGCCCGTTTAGTGAGCTTTCTTTTAGGTAAATGTGCTTTCAGCATAACGAAAACAATTCACATGCATCCCTATGGGAATTGTTGTTCTGAGAGAACACTTACTTTTTTGTGATCCGTGGACAGAACTTTAAAGTGGTGTTTGTGTTCACAATTCCGTAACTTGAAAGTACATGAGTGATTTGAATGATTCTTGTGACTGGGCTTTCATATCCTAGATTTTGAAAGTGCTACAGGCAAAAATTCATTCAAAATTCGTCCTGCCATTTTCGTTGTGTTTTTTTACTCACCCTGCATTGTCGGATGTGAAGTGGTTGTACTTGTATTAATTTTTGTCAATAAAAATAATGCTTGCCGTGCTTGTATTGTTTCATTGTATAATGAGTAATCATAAAATCGAAGTCTTCTGCTTATTTTGTTATTGAGTAATAATAAAGGGAAAATCGAGTCACTGCATACCATGAGATTTGTGCAAATATTGTTAATATTTGCCTGGATACCGTTCGTCCAATCACAGCTAAATCCACTTCGGTCGTCATCAAATTATATTGCCGTGGGAACCGTGCAAGCCAGACACCGTGATTGACAAACGTCAGGTGCGTCCCGAGATATAAGGAGAGATGCGTCAATGCAGGGATGTAGTGAGCAAGGAAGACCGTATGAGGAACATGATGAGTTGTGTGGTTGGTCGAATTGAAGTTTCACAGCCTGCATACCGATAGCGTAAATGGATTCACTCGCTAATGATTCGGTTGGTGACGACACCCTCGCCAGCGTGTGCAGCGAGGACACACCGGTGTTTTGCCTCGCCAGAACGGTATCCATTTCAATCGTACTTGGTATCATCGCTGTAGTGACAGTCATTGGCAACATCTTTGTGATTGCTGCTTACACCAAAGACACACGCATCAGCTCCACCGTCTCCAATGCGTTCATACTGAGTCTGTCCATCTCCGATTTGATAGTTGGGGCCGTCTCGCTCCCACTGAATTCAGTATGGGTCATCCTGGACCGGTGGCCTTTTGGAAAGATCCCCTGTCAGATATGGCTCGTGTTGGACTACACCTCCACCAACGTTGCCGTCATCACAGTTCTGTTCATCAGCCTCGATCGGTACTGGCTGCTGACCAAGAAACTCGCCTACGGTACATTTCAGACGCACAAACGGGCTACTGTCATGATCGTCACGTCGTGGGTTATCACTGGGCTGTTTTACACATTGGTAACTTTCGCATGGGGTCCGTTGGCGGGCGTTGATAATGTAGACTATGGCGAGGATTGCGAATTGGAGCCGTACGACAATCTCCCCTTTCTGGCATTCGAAATGGCCGTCGAGTTCTTCATCCCATTGCTGATCATTACCTACTTGAATGCACGGGTGTATATCAACATCAAGCAGCGCTCAAAGGGTATATTTCGGAAGCCCGGAGGATATTCTCACGAGATCTCGGGTATGGCCCCGAGCAGTGCAAGCATTCTTGATCAAGATAGAGCCCATCAGGACCAGTTGTCAGTTGGACAACGATTAAGCATCGAACTCAACCAGTCCCCAGCCCAGAAAATGCGTGTACCGAGAGTCGAAAATGGTCAGAGTAACACGGGTTTTGATGGGACACTGGAAGACATAACAATCCATCTGGACTCTGGCCAAGTCCAAACGCCTGCCCAAGAAGAGGACGGCATCAATCCGACCAAGGAAACTCGGAATCCCGTGGCAGCAAGCAAGAGCATCGGCCCAGACCGAGACCAAAGGGCCACTCGCAGAGAATTCCACCGGCACCGCAAAGCAGCGATTACGCTCTCAGTGCTAGTGGGTGTCTTCGTTGCCTCCTGGTTACCCTTCTACATTGCATCGCTCCTTGCCGCTTTCTGCGAGAGCTGCGTCTCCGATCTGGCCTGGGAGGTAGTCAACTACCTTCTGTGGTGCAACTCGACCATCAACCCGTTTCTGTACGCGCTCCTTGCGGTGCGATTCCGGCAGAATTTTCTGCGCTTTTTGGGTTTGAGGTCTTGCACGAAGCGATCATAGGTAGGCAATCCGTCATGCTAAAAGTGTCATTGAGGTTGGACAGATTTTTAATATCATATTCATGTTTCGACCGCTAAAACATCATTGACTTTGGATGCAATTGTTCAAACGTAGATATGAAAGATGTCCAATCAGTTAAATGCAATCTCACAGTTGGAAGAATTGTATATTTGTGACAAAAAATATATAAAACAAAATATATATGCACGTGGCTTTGTACTTCAAAGTTTCCGCTGAGCTGAGCACGAAACATGGTCACTAGCTTCTTCGGCCTGAAGCTGCCCTGCATTTTATCTTTTTCAAGTCATATACTCTCTTAATTCCAAAGAGTGCAAATCCACTCCATTTGAGTGAAGATTCACTCGGCACAGTCGGAAACTAGGGACTAGACGTTTTAGAGTGAAATTTCTTCAATCGTAAAGATCGAGGTTTCACTCGAGCTTCGACTGAAGTGGTTCTTTTTTTTTCAGACTATTTCAATCGAAATTGAGAGTGATTTTCGTTCTAAAACGTCTAGTCCCTAATTTCACTCTTTCATAATACCAAAAATGCAAACATTTTCCTTATTGTTTCAAAATTTCTTCAAAACAATAATTCACAGTTCACGTGTTCAAATCTATTCCAAAGTTGTAGACCCACCCCACCCAAACCTATCTAGAATTTAATTCGTCAATCTTCGATTTATTTTATAAACTGAAAAGTAGCTCAAGCTAAACATTTTGTAGTCTGTCTACTAGTTTAATAGATAAAGAGATATTGCTATTGTACTTAAAACATTTTAAGAGCCAAGCCAAACCCTAGCTCGGTATTAAAGTAGACCCCCCCCCGCGCTCTCCGCCCGATGCTATTTTCCGAGTTTCACTCCGAAAAAAATAGATTTATGTTTTAAACTAATTGCTATTTTTCTAGCAACACAAAAGTTATTCAGTTTCGAATGAGACTTTGAAAAAAAAGTTGTCACGTTGAGTTGTGGAATACACATTTTTGAATTATTTGTCGTCCTCGATCGTCCATCTTTTGTTGAAAACAGTCCTCGAACTTAAGTTTGTGTGCCTAGTCTATGGGAGAGTGTTATTAGGAACAAAGGCAACCACAATGCCTTGTCCTCAGATGTAATGGCAAAATACTATACGTGTCAATAAAAAAAGTCCTACATTTGATTCTAAATAACTCTTCCTCGAGGAGGTGTGCAATGACATCAGGGGTGATCCTGCATTTCTTCATAAGCTTTTGGCCGCAGCAAGCGCCTTCCGCCACCGTCTCCAGCGTTGTATCGTCGAAAGTGGCAGATTCTGAAAGTATTTGTTTTCGTATGGCGTTTAAATATCACTCTGTTGCACAAAGCTGATGAAACTCGCTCGATAAAATTTGTCATGCCTTTATTTACATAATCGTATCCGTTGGTAAACTAAACAGTTATTTAGGATCAAAAGTAGGAAAACTTTTTTACCCGTATATTACGACTGTGCGTATATTTTTGTGCGTTAGGGGCGTAAAAGTAACTCACAATGAAAAGCTATTTTCAGAGGGTTGAAAACGTCCAAAATAGGAAGTAGTAGCTTTTCCCGTATACAATTACATACAAATGTAATAGTCGGTAGGAGGAAACAAATCAAATCTGTTATCATGTTGAAATAGAAAATGTTGAAGAGCACGATGGAGCAATTTTGAAGACAATTAATGGAAATTGAAAATGAGGTTACTGTCTTGTCCACTCGTGTGCTATACACAGTAGACTAATGCGCACAACACTCCTTAGGCTGAAAAGAAAATGTGTGTGATAACATTATTATTTCATGTGTTTCATTAACGGTAAACGTTTAAGATAATTTGAACACTACGTGTTTGAACAAAATTAAGAGGATAAAATATTCAAACGTAGGTTTCTTGTATGTATATATGACAATTTTGAGGTATTTCAATTTTGAGATTTTCACTAAGGCCAAACCTGGATTTTTTTGGCCAATATGCCGACCTCAAACTTTTTATTGCCATTTTGAAGGTTGATAATTGACAAATTTCAAACATTTTAAGTAGCCTACTTTTAATTATTTGCCACGAACAAAAACCATTTTCCACACTTGAATCTGACCATGATATGACACAAACATACCTGTGTTAAACGTGCGAAAATCGCAACGATCTCAAAACTTGAATTCTCAAACTACAAAGTACGATTATTTTTGCACAAACGCATCGGGATACGCCTGGATGGCCGACGGACGGCATGGTTCTCCCCACGTACAAACGTGCTCATCGGCCCGATACGCTGGAATTGCGGCCGGCCCGATACGCCGACAAAAAAATGCCGATCACATTTTTTTGCCCCTGATACGCACAATATAATTATCATACACGCCATTAAAATGCACATTTGATCGTTACATACGCCATTATTTCATCTTGACATACAAAATCTTGACCCAAATCCTTTTTTTCGATGCATGTGTGATCAAAATGCATACGATGACGTGTTCTGTCGACCACCAGCAGCACCCAGCTAACATACAGCATGGTACACTGGTTTCCTTCGCCAGCTAAAGGAATCAATGCTATGATGTAGGACCGTAACCAGTGACTACTGCCTCTCCCCGGTCCATACTTCGTATCATACAGCATGATGATGTAGTGGGCCGAAGTTGGATCGTAAAAATATTACCAAACAAACATCGCTGGAGAAAGAGAATTTCTGCGAATTAATTCACAGAACATGATCTTTACTTTCTGTGTATGTGTTTTCCATTAAAATGACGAGATTGCAAAGCTCGAACTTGTGGCGAAACATCGTAGCGTGTTTCTGCAGTAGTGCAAGATTTTCGGCCACGTGGGCCGTGAGCACGGCGCGATGTTCGGCCAGCCAGGCGGAATGTTGGCGGTGCCAGCGGCCGTGATGCATGTTAAGCATAAAGTTGAATCACCGACCTCAAATATATATTTTTAATTAGGTGAGGCAAGTTTTAATCACTTTTGATAGCCAGTCTTGATAATTTTCGTGGCTCAAATGAAAATAATCCAAGCACAAAATAAACATGATTCCTTGCTCTATGATTAGTACGAATGATGCTCCATTAATCAGCACCCCCAAAAAATTAGCGAAATAATTTTCCGACCTACTGACGCTATTTTGAAAGGCATGTAATCGGAAGCAAAAGTAATTTTTTTCTCCACCTTGATTTCTTAATTTGAAACTTACATGTAAATGTAATTCATACTTTTCTAGTTAGGAAGCAGTGAAACACAGGTTGTGAAATGTTAAATTTAACAATTTTGATTTTTTCTTTAATTACAAAAAAATTAGTGACCTACAAGATCTCCTCTGAATTTCAAAGACAAATCTTAAGATAAAGATCCCCAGATTTGCTCTAAAATGCACCAGAGAGCTTCTAAAGTTCAAACATTTTCGGGTTTGTTGAATCACAGCAAATCTTCCCCCACATGTTTGAAAAAAATCCTGGGGAGAACCCTGGCGGACAATACGAATTAATTTGAATTGAAATGTACCGATTGAATATCTTCAATGCTTGAATAGTGGTTTTGTACAATTTTTTGCGAAAGAACACGCATGCGCATGCAGAACTGAAGTAAAAAAAAAAATTACAAAATAAAATTATTTCCCTACCTACCTACCTGGATTTTTTTCCGGCCGTTACCGTAAACACACCATTTTTTTTGGCCTAATGAGAAATATTTGTTGTATTCTTTGGTAAAAGAATGGTAACACATACTTCTGTGTAATGATTGTAATTAATTGCACCGTATTAGCAATTAAAGTTGTCAGCGTACGTGAAACATTTCGAACTAGTCCTGCTACAGTTATCGTTCTATTCCATCAACCATTTTTTAGGGACTACTTTGGTTTTAATGATTACCGCTGTGACGTCATGACTGTCGGTTGCCTACAAAACAATAGGTAATATACAACATTTGTTTTTGATATAAATTTTAAGAAATGGATGGATTTGGGGGTTAGTATTTTATAGCAAAAATACACTGACCTGTTTAAAGTTTTGTTTTTTTAGATGCTGGAAAAACCAAAGGAAAAAAAGTGTTTTTTTCACCCTGACGCTACTTCAGACGAAGCAATTTTTAGACGTGGGAAATTTTAAGTCAGGGAACAAGACTAGCTGGCTTGCACCCATTCACGGATGCATAGCCGATTGCCAAAAACAAAGTGGACTAACTAAATTTGGTGAATTGAGGGTCGGAGTTTGAAGAAAAAGGTCCGTTCTTTTTACAAAAATGTCACTTTTCTTGAAAATGACAGCATATCAGGTGCCATGACTTCACAGAATGCTTGAGACTACTATTCACTTACAGTCAAGTAAGCTATTTCATGACAATTTTGCATTTTTGGGTGTTTTTTTTTATATCTGCAAAATTGTATTACCTTTAAATACAAACCATATTTCAAGTGACATAAAAGCAACGTGGAATATGTTGATTCAGTCAGCGTCACATGATGGAATTGTTTTAGCATGATGTGTCATGGTCTATGCGTACACAGCTGCTGACGACTTATTTATTGCTCCGTTTGTACTGCTGAAATGTAATATTTAACCCCCAAAGTCACCAAATAATTACATGTAGCAAAATAATTCAATGAATGTCAATTGAGGCGACCATCATTATGTTCTTGTATAGATTATAAAAGAAAATTGTTTTCAAACAATGAATGACATCTTGTTTATGTTAACAAATGAGTGAGATTTTCGCATTCTTTCCAAAACGTTTCATTTGTTAAGGTAGCCAACCTCGACATCAACCCTGTCACCTTGATCAGTAATATTTTATTGTTTGTTGAAAATGTAGCATTGTGCTTTATATTGCACATAATCCCGAATGGTTTGCTGGCAGTGATACAACCTCAGGCAGAAGCTTTAGTGGATTTTCAAGAATTTTTCAGACATCCAAAAGAAACTAAAGTAAAGTCTGACATGAGCCAATATGGCCGATCAGACCGGCGCTTATCTCCAGTGTCTTTTGCGTTAAACAACTGAAAA